CCAAGTCAAACATTCAGACCGTGGACCGTGTCTGTTTCAGGGACCACTTGTACATGTACCCATAATATAATATTTGAGGGTGGGGTCACCACCTAATATATTTTGTCAGAAATAATATTTCAATACATTATTTGGCACAAGTGGGTACAGGATGGTACAGGGTGGTGACTGTGTTAACATCACTTCTGATAGTCAACATTATTTAGGAAAAACAATTAGGTGAAGGAGAGTTCAATATACAGTCAATGAAAGCATCAGTAGACAGTCAACCACCCCTGTTTGAGGTGGTCTTGTTAACATAGCTGGAATTTAATTCAACCAGTCAGATACCCTCAACATAATATTCATCCTTGGTGGGTCTAACCACTTAAAATTAATTCTAAATTATTTGAGGGTGGGTGGGAGTAGGGGGGTGGTCCAAGGCAGGCCGCATACTTGTACTGTCCAGATCTTCAGGGGAAAAAGAAACGGAGCCACCGAGCCGCCGCACCGTGCCGAGCCGCCGCACCGTTGGGTTTTTGGTGCACCCAATGCTTTGAGCCGGTCATGCATGCCGCATCATGCATGGTCATGCTCCAACTGATGGGCGGATATGAGCATCAAACTGTCCTGGCCTTGTGGGAAAAGCGGCCATTTTGAGGACAACCATGGGATGATATAGGCCCGTTGGGCAGCAGGCCTATGGATACGAGATGATGAGAGTCACCTCTCTCTCTCTCTCTCTCTTACGCCCTGATCGCTCAGAGCGCATTGTTTGTGGCTAGGGTATACATCCCAGTAAATCACTGTATATCTCGCTTGAATTGTGACTCACACAGCAGCACGATTTGAATGTTCCAACTGTAACAGTGACGACCCCATCGGAGACTAGCAAGGAAAATACGGACAATGACAATGAACAAGCTGAAGACTACAATGAAGTAAAAAACCGTTATATAGTTTCGATTAATTTCATTGATCTGTCCTTGTCTTTGTGAGTGAGTATATCTGAGTAGCCACCGGGAGTGTATCCGCGCAGGTTTTTCATTATATATTGTAATTAGAAGTGGAGGAGGTGATGCCCGAACCCAGACGCGCACAAAGTGAATTCATTGAGGTTGAGATGCGCTTGGAGCAGATGAGGGACCTCATCCAGCCTGGCGGGCGCATTTTGAGTAGTTGAAACTGGAAGATGACTCTGGCATCCATTTGTTCAATCAGACTCACAGTCCACGATTGTAGAGAGAAAGAGATAGAGAGAGAGAGAGACCGAGAGAGGCACCGAATGCATGCCAATAATAGTGCCAACTGAAGCTAATCAACCCTAATGCACCAGACGATTCGGAGGCTCTTAATGCCCTGAAACAAAATCAATGAGATCTCTCAATCTTCTCTCCCTTCATGGACGTACGAGGATCCCCGCACTTGCAAGGAACAATTCTTTATCCTTGTGCATGCGCTTCGCAGCCAGTGGGTTCAAAAACCAAACGCCCTTGCTCCGGAGAGGGTGCCGGGGGGATTCTCCCCACGCCATGTGCTGTGTGACTTGACGGCAGAAACCCTTCGAATGGTTCCCATGAATAGAAGAAGAAGGTCACAGGGCAAGAAGAACACCCTTTGGAGACACATTGGGATGTCATCTCAGACTCAACCTCAGAGAATTGCCTATGGAACGATCTTTGATCTATATAGTTAAGCCGTGTAGACCTTAAGATGCCTCAATCCTCTATACAATGAGGTTTTCTTGTGTAGCCTGGCTACCCCATTCAAGCCTATTCCGGTGGGATCCCAACTCGGCACGGTGTTCCTCGGACGAACTCACGGACCGGTCTGGGTTTAGGGTTCCGTCCGCGTGTGGCCCGAGGAACCGGCGCTGGACCCGAAGTTGTCATGAAGCAAGTGGTGGGAAGCTCAGATTCATTCCAGGCCTGGCGGCCTGACATCATTCCATCGATGTATATCGAAGTCCATTTTTCCTACTCCTAGGCTTGTTCATCCGATGAATTCAGTTCTCCGGCAAAGTGGCAAAACATGGTGGCACGGGTCATGTGGTTCATGCCTGCCAGGCAGGCCACTGCGTGATTACTTACTTGCTTCATACCCAAGACGTATACGTGGTCAGGTGCCTCGCTATGGCATAGTACATTAGAAGATGCTACTCGTAGTACCATCTACTACCCTATAGGCCTTATGTGGTTGCCTGTCCAACAAGAACAACCCTCCAAGTTTTGTTCTAGGTTGAAAGACTAGTTTTTGGCAAACTTAGACATCAACCGTTTTCCTCATAGGCGCTGAGCCAAAGGCGTTATGATCATCCACCTGTTCTGAGGTTTCTGTGAAGCTTCCAACTGTGGGTCAAGGCGTGGCCGGGGCGCCAGGCCAGTGCCCGTCAAGAGGGAGGACCCCACAGATTATTATAATGGACCTTGACGGTGCCTCTAACCTCTAAGTTGCCCTTAGAGGAAAACGGAGATAACAGCAGAGATGTGTAGAGGATCTCGAAGGTTGTATGTTTCCCTCCAGCTTTGCCCGTTTGGGTTCTCATTCTTATCTTGTCTTTGCACATGACAAAAGTATCGGACAATGCCAAGCTAAGCCCTTTTGTGTAGTTTGTGCAGCACTGCACCCTTTCAATGCCCACCAAAAGTGTAAATTGTTTATATAATTGAGTTGTTCGTCTCAGGGATTTCGGCTCAACACGATTTGACCGACTTGACTTAACGCTTCGGCCACTGTTCCGGCAGCATGTGCGAAGCTAGGCTGATGTACTGCAAGGCCTTTGAAAGAAGCGCGTGACTAACCGATAGGGCTTCCAGAGTGAGCCCATTAGTTTGAGATGTTTGTCCCTCAAACAGGTGAAAAAGTCTTCACTATACTAGCTAGAAGCTGGACCCTGTGCTCACAGTCAGTTTTGTGTTACCAGGACATGGTCGTCATGAATTTACTCAGGCGACAGGTTACTAGGCCAAAGGAACCAGGTAGGGTTGGTGAATCATGCACCACCCAACATCACATCCTTTGGTGCAGTCTTTTTTTTCCAAAAATCTGGCGAGCGACAGAAGATGTCTGAACCAGGACAGCTTTGGGTTTAGGGTTTAGGTGTTCCCAAGAGTGTTGGGTGGCAAGTTCTTTTCGTTGCCCCTTCTCGATTTTTCAGAGACATCTGTCTCAAATTGGCCCTTTCAAAACACTCCGGTCCTCAGGACAGGGACTGCTATGAGATTTGCATGGAGGCGGACCCCTACACCGCCCAGACCAGCACTCAGTGGGTCTACAGCGGTGAGGGCCGGGGTGCATATGCCAGCAAGACGCAAATGGAGTACGTGGGTGAGAACCGCGGCGCGCCGCTGGGGCGCAAAACGCGGGGCGCACAGCGCGTTGTCAGGTCCTAGGTGCAAAACAGAAGAAGAACGTTGGTTTTGGTTTGTGAGCTCTCCAAAATTCAAAACCCTTACATTGCTTGAGTGTATTTGAAGTAGCTTTGGAACCTCCAACTACATACTGAGGAAATGGTTGGATTACTAGGACAGCCATTGGCATGAGCACAGTTTTGAGAAGTTGCTGTGAGCAGAACCAATCCTTGTAAGGATCTGATCATACACATCGGAGTGTTTCACAGGGGAGTGGTGAGTGGCCTACGGGTCAGAGTGGAATCCTACTGTTTGAATTGATTGTTCATGGCAATTTGGGTGAGAAGCAGGAGGGCTGGGGTGACGAGAATTGCTGACTTGATGAAACGGGTTGCGTTTATGCCAGGGGCCCGGGGCATAGGAATCATTGCCTTTGCTTGTTGTTTCTTGCTTGGGCAAAACAATTGTTCTGTAAGGCGTTTTTCAAAAATGTTATTTGGAGCTCTCAAGGTGTAGTGCCTCCCTCGAACTTGAGCGTCTCAGGTACAACAAGGAGACGACGACCACGCATGGAGGTTATCGCATGCGCGGGTGGATCTATTTGTGTTTCCTGCTGCCCCTCTTGTGACCCAGCTGTGCCAAGGACATGTGGCTTTTAGCCATTGGAAGTCTTTGTACAGACGGTAGCTACGGTAGTTACATGTATATAGTTACAATATACAGGAGTATGTCAAGACATAAATATATCATATAGGCATAGACACATAGAGCAGTTGATATTTGTGGCGAAGGCTAGCGTGCCCCACCACTTGTGGTAATGACTGATTTTGCAGGAGGTGTGACTGTTGTACTTGCGTGAACGTATGCCCTCCACCTAGTAAAGCCGGGATGTTTTTTGATGTCAGGATTTGTTTTCTCCTTCCGATGCATGCTTGGCAGATGCACTCTCCTACAAGAAATGCCATACCACGGGTGCTTATGGCATTACTACTACTTCTTCTACTACTAAGTTTTTACTACTGCTGCTGGTGCTGCCGCTGCTATTGCTACTGCTACTACTGCTACTCTTACTTTACTTTTGCTTTTTCTCCTACTCCTCCTCTTGCTCCTGCTGGCTGCTTGTGCTGCTGCTACTACTACTGCTACTACTACTACTACTTCTGCTTCTACTACTACTACTACCACTACTGCTACCACCACTACCACCACCACTACTACTACTACAACCACTACTATACTACTGCAACCACCACCACCAACACTACTACGACGACGACGGTTTTACATTTACTACGCCTACTAGAATCTGCAAGAACTATACTGCGTACTAGTAGCCACAGTGCTGCTACTACCATAGCACCTGCTACCGGAACTGCGCTGCTTTGATGGCTCCAGCGACAGTGGCTACTATACTATACTATATACTATTATTGCAAGAGTGCGAACATACATATATACAAAATGCGAATGCAGGTTAAAATCACGTGGACGATGCTGGTACATGCTGTTGTATCTTCTTTGGCCTTCGTTGTGCGAAACAAATCGTTTGGACCGCCCCGGGCTATGACTGCTCTGCCAAGGGCTGGATTGTTGGCCTGGTGGCTTTGGCCACGCCCAGCAGCTGCCCCGACGGGTCCTGACTGCATCACGGACTATGAGAATTGGCAAGTGATGTGGGATGCCAACCGGGCTGCCTGGTGCTGCGCTGAACAGGGCAGGGGCTGCAAACCTTTCGAGCAGCATCATCAACAGGTGACTGGGCGGTTTTAAGGTGTTTGTTGCTTTTAGCCTCGCCACAGTGAACTGTGAACAACTGTCAACGAAAAACAGTGGGCTGAGATGTTCTACACGGTTTTTTCGGTCAGACGCAACCTAGGTCGTCTACATGAATGTGCAGGCCCCGCCACCGCCACCGCCACCTCCACGACCAGTGATCCATCACCATCACTTCGCCTACGATTGCCACAGTGGCTACTCCAATTGGTGCCCCGAATTAAAATAAGCGGCTTTAAAATATATTGCCGCACAGATAAAGAAATAAGTAAACACCAGGGAATCCTTCATTAAAATACAAAGGGAAAATAGAAATGAAGGATTCCATGAATTAGAAAAGATGAATACCAATGAATTTTATTTTAATTGTCCTTTATTTTCTATATAAAATTCATTCGTAGATATATAAACGATTATTATTCAAGGATATCTGCCATTTATTATTTATGGTATCTTTTATATAAATGGCAGATATTAATTCATTAATATATATATATTATTTTTACAGCCGTGACCACCCGTCTATTGTAAAATCCTGTAGAAATAAGAGATAAGTAAAAATAGATATTAATTCACTTAAGTTATGGCAGTTTATTGATGATAGAAATATAAAATATAAACTGCCATAGAACAATTTATAAATAAGATATATATATTCCCGATGCATTCATATTAATAAACGAGGGACTTTGGTACGGCAATCTTTCTAGCAAATTTTTTGGGCTCTCATTACCTGACCTCCTCCATCATTCCTCTAGGAAGTTCATTGCCGCTACAGGCCCTCTATCAGCACCGGTCCTGCAAGAAACATCGGATCCAACGATGCATTGCTTTGGATCTGAAGATGCATCGCCCGTTGGATCGAGGTACTTTGGATGGTCGGATCACAAGAAGGGCTGGTGCTGCGAGCGTCAAGGCGCAGTCCTGACCGGAAAAAAGGTCTACAGTCTACACAGCCTACACCCCACAAACAGCGAAAGGTTCGAGACGGCTCGAGAGAAAATGGCTTTTGATTTTCGGGGGAAGTGGACTGGATAGCGCTTTGGGAGACATGGCGGGTGTCACGGCTTGCTTGGACGTGTGGTGAAGGCTTTGTGGTCCTGTGGCCTGTGCACACCCGAAAACATGCAAAACAACGCTTCTGGATGTGTTTTTACTTTTTTCGGGTCCGGAATGGTTTTAAAAGAGACGGACAGTGCAAGATAAATTGTGTGGCCGCCTGTTGCGTCTCCATCTCTTGATCATTGAGACGTCCTTTTCTACTGTCCGTCACAGTTGAATTGCTCGCACTATCCAGCAGTCGATTGTTGCTGTCCGTTGGTCCGTGTCCGTCACCGAATGCTTTACCGTTTCACAAGCACAACATCAGCACGATGCACCAACTGATCGTCCGATGCACCAACGTGTCTCGTTGCCGATGGAGGCATGGGATGTCCTGGGACTTGGCATGGCTCCTACCACATCTCCACACACATGGTGCATGGTGTTGCTCGACTTCCTGTGGTTTTTTAACGAGAGGGGAGGGTTGACTTGATGATGGTTGAAGATGGTGTTTTTCAATTGATTGTATTTGCGCGAGGAGCGGGCAAGTTGATCGCATCGTTAGAATAATGTTCTTCAACAGTTGCTCACTCACTTTTGGGCAGTCGAGTTCCTGAATTTTTTGGGGGAGGCCAAGCGATGCAGAACCTGAGGTTGGTCATGCCCATGGAAGGATCTACGACTGCAACGCGGGCTTCTCCAATTGGATGCAGGGATGGTCGGACTCCAAGAAGGAGCCAATGTCCTCGGCATTTGTTTGCGCGACCAACACAGAGCTGCGCCAAAAAGGGATGAACAGATTGTTTCTTTGATCCCTGCATTTCCACTAGGAAATCGATGGACTCATGTCCCCTACAAAAGTGTTTTTTCTAGAGAGCTATGTTTCCTAACATTGTCGAGTCCCTGGCCATTCTTTAGACAAGTTTTTTTTTGAATATGAACATCGATGCCTTTGGGCATGTTCTCGAGTATATTTTGGAGTTATGATGAATCAATAGGACCAGGACTTTACCATTTTCTAGAGAAGCAGCTTGCCATTCAGAAAAACTGTTTTAGGAATGGTACCATTTTCTATATAGTGGACATGGCAGGTTGCTGTAAAACAAGATACAATTTTCTGGTGCCAGTGAAAGAGTTTTCACAGAGGGACGCTCGAAAGAGTTTTTGTGGCAGCCATTGACAGTGCAACAGCCTTGAGGTGAGGATTGAGGATATCCTTGGAGCACTTTGGACAAGGGGTTAGCATCTACTCATAAGAAACACACTGTAGTCCCTCTTCATCACGGGAATCTCGACGTGGGAAATTGCCGTTCGATTGTGCAGATGAGCTTTGGAGCCATGGGACATAGCTTGGACTGTCCGAGAAGGGCCGTGGAAAGAAAGGTCCTGCCTTCGGAGCGGGTCGAGACCTGCGCTTGTCGCTCGCAGGACTGGTGCTGCAAGCACAACGCGAAAGGCTGTCAGAAGTTCCACTGCAGTGGCTCGACGGGCATGTGGGCAGCGGACAAGCGCGAATGGTGCTGTGCCAACTTCCAGAAGGCTTGCCCAAGGAGCCGCTGTGCACTTCGATCGCGCTGGCCTGGCGAGAAGTTGATGCAAGGGGAAGTTGCTTTGTGATCATGATTCAGAGGGAGTTGGAAGGCCCAAACTACCCCTAACAGAGATTTAGAAGAGCGTCCGGAAATGTTTGGCACAGATTTTGCCAGTCACAGGCCAATTTGGATGTTGGCTTTTCACACTCAAAAAGACCACGTGATTTCATTCAAACTCAGTGAATTCGACACCACGACGCCAGGACTACCCTCTCAAACCTCAAGTGCGACGCACTGTGCCGAATCAACGGAGAGGATTCCAAGTGCATTGACCGTATCCATTGGGTCGCCAACCACGTCTTCGGATCGAAGGACCTCGGCGAAACGACGGAAAGAATGTGCGCCACCGGCGCAAGGACATTGCGTCTCGGGCGTTCGGTGCGCTGCGGGCTTTCGCAACGCTGCGGAAAGCCCACTGGTTGGGGGCCAGGTCTGACCCGGGCGTTTCAGGTCTCGGCAGCGGTGGACTGAGATTCGATAGATTCGGGGTCAAGCACATAGGTATATATAATGACAACAGAATTACAACATATTACAACATTATTTTACAACCACGAACATGGCAACCCACAACTGGCTGACAGAGCATGGTGCAGATGTTGCTTCTCCAGCAGGGTCCAATAGTTTGGTGATCTTGCCTTTCCTGTCCGCCGCGGAAGTCGGAAGGACAACAAGTGCGCCTTGGCCTACAGCAAGATCCAGGTAGACTGCGACATTTGCCGAGGCTGCAGCATTCAGGACCCAGTTGAACGGTGTCTGTTATATGAAGAAGATTGAATAAGCAAGATGTCCGAGATATTGCATTTCCCGCTGTGTTCCTGTGTTCCACAAGTAGGCCACGAAGGGGGTTGATGGGGAAGTGGGTTGCCTTTGCAAACAGGCAGGATGATGCAACGCGATTTCTATCATATCCAACTACCACATACCTTGCACCGCTTCAGCACTTGCCTGCAGCGAAGAGAACTAGCAGGGACATCGTGTGTGTTTTTCAGCATCCACTCTGGCCCCTTCGTCCAGGATGCTGGCTGTGAGGTGCAGGCCGCTGGAAGGGACCCCTTTGATTGCAATGCAGCCTTGAACAACTTCTTCCGCGCTTGGTCACCAGAGAAAAAGCCACTTGGTGATAAGCATCGACGCAGTTTGAGGCGAGTTGTTTTTGTTTTTGGAGAAGTGAAGGATTGCAGTAGCAATTCTGTAGGGTTAATATCATGAGCAGTTAAAAGATTAAGTAAGGAGATGTGAATTCCTGTGTTTTCACGAAAATGTAGCTAGCTGTAGTCTGTCTTGCTATAGCAAGGAGGGTGGGAGCCCAGGACCTGAGTGCTATTACCTGATATATCAGGACTACACCCCCCCCCCTCGCGGGCGGGGTTCAACTCCACTCTCCTCCTCGGTACTTGCTGCTGCTGCTGCTGCTTGGTCGCTGCTGCTGCTGCTTGCTGCTTGCTTGCTGCTGCTGGATGCTGGCTGCCTGCTGCTTGTTGTCTGCTCCGTTTTGCTGCTGTTGCTGTTTGGGGTTGTTGGCTGCTGTTGGTGCTGAAGAAAGCCTATTCGTTAGAATTGAGAGTAGTTGCATTCCCTCTGAGTCGTGAAACGATGCTAATTTCATTATATCCTTAAGAAGCTTGTACAGCATGTACCCACCCCACAACCCAAGAGTACAAATCAGAATGCACTATCCGCTATCCATGCAGATCAAAGGATGATACTTTCTACCATGAATGACAGAACCCAGTAAGATGTTTGAACGGGCTGTTTGCTTCACTCATGGTAGTCCGCGTTGCATGTTCGAGCGACAGGGAGCATGCACAAGCGTTGCGACGGAATCTTCGGTCGCTGACACATGTTCGCATGCAACCCCTAGATGTCAATCATGCACACCGCTGCTGGCTGCATCGTCAGCATTCATTCGTGGAAAAACAGATATATCAGATATATGTGTCTTTCCACGTCGCCCAATTGCTCAGGCAGCACCTATATGTGCTATTGTTCGAGACCAAATGTTGGGGCACGAAAGACCCGAAGGAAAGCTCACTTTTTCCTGCTGCTGCTGCTGCTGCTTGGTAGCTGGTGGTGCTGCTTGGTAGCTTCTGCTGCTGCTGCTGCTGCTGCTGCTTGGTAGCTGCTCCTGCTGCTTGGTAGCTGCTCCTGCTGCTGCTGCTTGGTAGCTGCTGCTGATGCTGCTGCTGCTTGGTGGCTGCTGCTGATGCTGCTGCTGCTGCTGCTGCTGCTTGGTAGCTGCTGCTTGGTAGCTGCTGCTGCTGCTGCTGCTTGGTAGCTGCTCCTGCTGCTGTTGCTGCTGCTGCTGCTTGGTAGCTGGTGCCGCTGCTTGCTAGCTACTCCTGCTGCTGCTTGCTGCCGCTGCCGCTGCTGGTTACAGTTATTGTTGTTGTGGCTGCTGCGGTTGCTGGGGTGGTTGTGGGTTGCCATGTGTTGGCTGTGTTGGGGTCGTATTGGGGGGGGCGCTGTTGGCACTCTCCTTTTCCCTTGGCCATGGCATGTTGCGATTCCCGGCCAGGCTTTTGCTGCCTAAAGAGCCCCAGCGTTGTTTCTTTCTCTAGCTTTCGCCACCCCCCCTCTGGGCCACAAGTAGAGTCTAGTGCCGAAATTGGACCAGGGATGTCAAAGATGAAACCAGAACCAGACTCAATCAGTTCAATTGAAGATATACTTCTCACAGAAACATGACAACTCACGTGCTTTTTCATACCTGGGAGCGTTCCTCCTCCGTTTCATCAAAGGCAATGGTGCTGCACCAAGCGCGGTAAGGGCTGCGAAGGGAAGGCGCCTCCCTCGGTGGATGCGGGCGCCGGCATGGCCTCGCGGCGGAGTTGATATGGTCGGAGATGGTCGGGATTGGTTGGGGAATGTCAGGCGCTGTGGTTCGAAGTTGATGATTTGCGGGCCAGATCAGCGTTTGTGTTGGGGTGCATAATGGTGCGTATGGCGTTTCTTCACGGCATATTCTGTAGCGCGTTGGACCAGATCTCCCGATCTGGAGCTGTCCAGGAGTCCAGGATCCGAATCCTAAGGTGTGGAAGCACGTCCAAGTGAATGGCTATTGGACCTGGCAAGCCGTTCAAGGCCATGGAGTTGTGAGTGCCCCATATGACTGCCATGCAGGCGCCAGGGCGTATTTTGTTTTTGGTTTCGGCCATGCGGGCGCCGAGTGTTATTATATAGGCCCATTTAGGCCACTCCAAAGTGAGATGCCACCCAAACCCTAAGCGCCTAAGGGATGTGGTCCAAATTGTGCTTGTTCATTTTAACCATAGACCATTTGCTTCGCAAAAGGTTTAGGGGGCGAGTCGACTGTCGTATGTACTGTGGAGCTGGGGAGCAGGTCAGGCCGGGTCAGGCGGCATGACAGTTGGAAGTTCCCAGGAATGGCCACGAACCGTTCGGAACTCACTTGGTTTGCACGCTCTGAACTTCACAGATGCCAATGAAGGACGGGACTTTCCTGCATGGTGCTTGGGTCTGTGTCAGATGGCCCTGTCAAGGCCCAAACAAGCATTCTGGAACCACTTGACCCATAACTCTCTTTGGTCGAGGCCTCAATAATTGGCACATTGGCTGGTCTGGACCCAAGTTGCTTGGCTGGTCTGGTTGTGTGGTCTGTCAGTTTTTCAGACTGTAAGTTCGCATGTTAGAGGATGTTGGTTCACCGATCTGCAGGTAGGCACTTTAAAGGTATTTGGGAATTGCAGATGATGTGCAAAAAATGAAGGAACGAAACCATGAGATACGTGGAGAAACTGGAAACCACCGACATTTCAAGAATGGACTAGGAAGACCTGGTGCTGCGCTCACCAGCACTTGGGCTGCGGGGGTGGTGCCGGTGGCGCGGGCGGCGGCGGCGCCTTCCACCACTACGGCGGTGGTCATCACTACCACGTCGTTCACCATGTCGTGCATCACGTCGTGCACCACTGATCCAGGCCATGTTACTTTGCGAACTGCAAGTAATTATGCTTTTGAACGTGCTTTTGAACCTTTTGATGCCATTTTGCCACTGTACATGGCCCTCATGGAGTAATGAATCAGCTCCACGCTACGCCGTAAACAGCTTTGCCTACGACGCCGCGTGGACGCGTGGCCGTACGTGTGAGGTGCCAGGTGACCCATGAAGTATTTTTTGGGGCCGAGATGAGGTGCCATCTACATGAAAATCCACCCATCCACAATCTACCGATCCATTTCTGCATGCTCTTCTCATATTTGTCCCAATGAAAGGATCCGCCTTTGTCACACAAGTTTGGATGCAGGGCAAGTTCTATATAATATAGCTATAGAAATGTCTCAAATGTGGAGGTGTGGTAGGTGTATGTAGGTATGGTAGGAAAGTTCTCTCCCTTTGTCAAGGGAGGCTTGTTGAGGTAGGTCTGGTAGGTGTGTTATTGCTTCGAACGGAACCTGTTCCTCCAGGCATGGCCGAAGCGGAGGATGTCCCCGAAGGCTTTGCCCCTCGGCGGGGGATGTCCCCTGGGCGAACGCCCTAGTCTTGAGAAGTAAGACGATAATATTTAACAACATTAAAACATCAACATGTGTTCACCCACCAAAGGGTTAAGGATGTCCTGTTTGACACATTGGCCATTGGCCTAGTTACTCGTCTATCGAGGAAGCATGCAAAGTGTCGCCAAGCCATGTGCCGCTAGACAATACAGCAGCGAGGGTTGAAGATGATTTTTTTCCATCCAGGCGGGAGGTATATGCTGATTGCGAGCATATAGATATTGAGTATGCAAATCCCTTGGCTTTAATAGCAAGTCAGGGGACCAGCAATTCATCAGAACAGTCGTGTGCCAAGGATTGCAAGGCTTTCGTTGGCAGGGGGGCCTTGGAGGGAAACTGCAGCTGAGACAGGGGTCCAAGGAGACTATACTCCGACAAACACATCACATGGAAGTGGAAAACCCCTGTTTCAGAGGAAAGTAGCCTTCCAAGGGGCCATGGCATCCACTTCCATGTTAGTGAGTCAGAGTGTAATTAAAAGTAATTAATCATGTTCACTGTTGATCAGTAAAACTCATCCTGGTAGATCCTGGTAGGGGGGGGATCTTGAACGAATCTAGAAACCACCGTCAACATTCCTGGCCAACAATGGGCCTACTCCCCGGCCCTGTTCACTTCTGAGCTTCCCTGATCCAGCCCACTCACCCCCACCCAAGAAACGTCGCTTAAACAGATCTGATAACCTCACCTGGTCCGTTCAGAAACAAGCCTGGCCGGGTGCCAGAAATGCCTGGAGACATTTACTTGCGTTTTGGTCGTCGGCAGCTAGAGCTTGGGCACTGAGGTATATACCTGTTTGGATGAAGCCGGTGGTCAGTGCGGCGTCTCGATGAGATCGCACAGAGAGTTCAATCGATCAAGACTTGGAGAGCGTCTTGATGTACACTTCACGAAGCACCCATGGGACGCCCCCCATAGCTGACACAGATGATGACATGGTCCTAGCCCCGACGAAAGAAAGAGTGTGACTCGGTAGCCGAAGGTGCAACTCCAACAATTGCTACTAGTAGCTTCCTACTAGCAGCAATGCCAGGAGCTACTACTAGCTTCTTTCTCCGTTCGTAGCGATGCACCTTGTTACTAGCATCACTGACCAACCTATCACATCCTATCGTTCAGGTGGGCGTCCCTGCGCACTGTCCGGTGCAATGTCGCCAATCCTTGGCCCATGGTCGCTCAAGATGCCAATGGCACCTTCAGTTTCGCGGACGAAACTGATTTATGACCACTGAGACCTAACCTTACATGACCTGACGGATTAGAAGTATGATGAAGTATGATCAATGATCATCAATGATCAACACCTGCAACAAAAAAGTGTCAGGCAAGCGCCAGGGGCATCCCCACAATCAGCATGCCCTGCCCGTGTATGGCCTACCTCTTGCGACCATGAAATTCATTTTTCAACCAGTGAAATGGCTCCCCTGGGAGTGAGTGAGTTGCGTCTCCAGCTGGGTGTTTTCTCCACACCACGGCCCTACAGAACACCTTCCGCTTGTTGATATGACAGTATGCTGTACTTCTGTTCTCATACATGCATATACTATATATATATATATATTATATATATATATAAATATTATATATTTTCTGAAAAGGTTTGTAAGTTGAACAACATTTTACAATATTTTACACAAACAGTTCAGTATGCATGCATGTACGCTCGTTTGCGCGATATGCTTGCGTTTTTAGGCGGTGAATAATCCCGTAAGACTCATCCAAGCGCCTGTTCAGGCATGTGTAGCATGGACATGTTTCGCATGAACCTGCGAGATTAGATTGCTTTGCCCAAAAACAGAACTGGTGCTGAAGATGTTTTCTTCAGCCAGCTTTGGTTTTAGACTGCTTCGGATTGGGAGACCCTGGTTTGCAAGTGTACTCGTGTCCATTGAAGAATGTGTTGACACTCTTGTTTAGCGCCGCGGGAACAGTCGCATTTTTGTTGACAATCTAGGGGGATGGTCCCCATGACAGCCGAGTGGGGGAAGAACTCAATCCAACATAATCCAACTATTCCCTGCAAGCATAACAAAGAGAGAAAAAGAGTGTATCTATGACATTCTACGACCCTTGGTGAGGGCTTAACAATAGCACCTCTACGAAGCACAGGAGACCATGAGGAGACCATGGTGTAAAGATGTAGTAACGTGCAAAGTGTGCAGCAGCTGTTTCCTGCAAAAAGACACTTTTTTTGCAGAATGGACGCGCTGGACCGGTTGTGAAACATCTTGAAAGTGCGAGAGTGAGGGTTTGATCAACCAACAGAAATGAATGGAATAAAATAAATAGAATCAGTAATAGAATCCAGTTGCCAGAGAATCATCCATCTGAGATCATGTTTTTGTTTGCATCTTCTTTGGATGGAACATGGTGGAACTTTGTTTTCTCCATTCGGTTCGCTGGGAATCTTAATCTTTATCATGTTTATGAGATTCATCTACATGGCTTATTTTCTCTGGAGACGTGGGCGGCAGACCGCTGCATCGGTCAGCCGGGCAAATGCTTGGCTGTCGGCTGCCGGCACTTGAGCGCTTGAACACCTGCACTGCGAGGAAAAGGGTGTTGGGCACCAGAATTGGATCACTATTTGGATCTAAATTTGGTTCGATTTGTTTCTTTACAGAGCGGCCATTCATGGAATGGATTTGCTGCAAAGAGATTCCACAAAGGGTTGTTTGGGGCAGGTCAAATTCTGGAGAGACAAGCCAGCTTGCGAGCTGTAGTGCGCACCATTTGTTCAGAGTAGCGGGCCGACAAGCGTCAAACAACAAGCACATCAACTCTAGGAGGCGACAAACACGTGCCCTTTGGTCCCCTTGTGAAACAGCCGACCGCCGTTGCCGAAAAATTCACATCTATATATTTATATCCCTACTGATTCCTTTTTTTTGGCACAAAGAGCAGTTTTGCTGACGACGCACTGCCGGGGTATCGCTGCGCCTTCGTTCTCCACAGCTGGTAGATGACTCTCCACCTTCACCTTTGCAGGTGGCGCGGGTGGCACTGAAAAAGGACGTGTGGGGAAGCCCACTTCTGAGACCCGGCCAGAAGAATAGCTTTTTCCAGATGTTTAGGGACATGTTTAGTAATTAAGATGAATGTTGAGTATATATAGAAATTTCTATTTCCCACTTCTATAGTTACATGTGCTTTTCCCCATGTTGTTGGTCTCTTCGAAGTTTCGATGGAATGCAAAAGCACAGCGAAGTCAACTCAGGAAATGGTCGCTTTGTCCGACGATGGAGCGCCCCCGCTCCGACCAGAACCAGGTGGGCCGACCTGGGTCCACCTGGCCGTTCATCTTGCGGAGTCTCAATCGGAAGAGATCGAAAATGTAAAGGCCGTGCAGGGCCTAAGGAGTGGAGGTTTGCAGGTTGACTTCTTGATTTTTCTGATTTACTGGAACTGGATTTGAGAGGAACATGAATCGCCCAGACGTCGTGCGCGTGCACCTGTCAATCTAATTTAATGATATATCTAAGTACCTTCTCAGAAGTTGATTGGAGACACTGTTATGTAGGTTTGGCTGAGAAGGTACTTGGATTCCTAGGGATAATTATGTACTTACCCGGATCTTCTAACTGTGGAGAGTTTCTGCTGTTTCACCCAAAGTCAGGCATCGAGCACAGTTGGAAGATCCATGTATGTTCAATAATCATAGCAGCACCATGCACCACCGCCCCAGACTGACGAAAAAGCAGTGGGGAGGGGTCACTTGGCTCTTGGGTTTCACAAGATTTCTACCCTGGAAAAGCCAGCAGGCTTTGGGAGAAGAGTTCTGGACGTCGTTGTTCACAGTTCTGGACATCTGGAAGTGCAGACTCTACGACAGTAGACTGCTTTTGAGTTGTGGCTGTGCACACCTGGTACAGGCGCGAAGTCCGCGGGTCACGAGCAAGCGACGACCGAGGCGCAACTCATCCGACCGCTTCGGCGCGACACACCGCTTCGGCGACCGTGTGGCTTTCGAGTTCGCCGTCTAAAGCGTGATCAGTTCGGTTGCACACACACATACATATATATATATAGCAGGTACTATAGTATACAGTCGGTTGGCTAAATATATGCTGAGTACATGGGGTGCTGCCGACTGTATGTTTTTCCATCAGATGTTGTTTATCCGGGTGGAGGGGTTGGGCCGAGAAGATGCGGTGCACAGTGCGGTGCACCGTTTGCCTGACCTTTTTGCTGTAAGAGTTGGTGGGCCGGCCGCGCCAGCAGCCATAGGCTGTTGGCCAGTCTTTGTCGCATTTGATGTACCATACATGATTCCGGGACAGGCGTGCAGTGGCTAGATGTTCGGCAAAGTGTTTAGAACAGCTGCACGGCCCGCCCCCAGTATTCGGACAACAGACCTGTTGAGTCCTTTCAGTGTTGGCCAAGATACGAGCAGCACTAGCAACATCACGAGCGCAAACAGAAACACAAAGACATATTCCGTGTTTTGGTCCTCTATTCAATGCTGATCATTCGACTCTGATTCTTTAGAATGATCCCAGTGGCAAAGCATGGAGGATACAACAAACACATCAATTAGAAGTCGCTATGGCAGCAACAACACACGCAATGGATTCTAGGGCGAACAGGAATATCAATTGTTTTAGTTTTGGTGGGCGGCAAATCAAATCAGCTGACCAATGGCTGTGGAGATGGATCGAAGTGGAAGAATTGCCGTTGTTCTGTTTTACAGTGTATATGACTGCACAGAGGTGGTCGGCAGTGGTTCCACGAAACTTTGGCATCAGTTACTGACAATGATGTGATTTTGTACGTAATATAATAGCCCGGCCCAGCTGTCAATTCTGTGTGCAGATCAAGTACTTCAACCTTCGCACCTGCCTTCAAGAATGTCGTACTTAACACTTTTGTCGGCAAACCCGATCATTCGACAGAGGATGAGAAAAAGTGAACGACATCTCAAAGTGCCTAATGCCTACTAACTGAGTTTTTTCATTGAGTTGCCAGTGCCAGGATTGACCGAATACTTTGTCGCGTGGCACGGTCCAGCTCAAGCAGTATTTGTCCATGACCCATGCCATGCACGATGGCCTGAGGGGTATCAAGCGGCCGCACTCGCCCGAAGCTCCCGAAAAGCCCGAGACTGTGGCACCTTGCGCAGCGCCCACAGCGCCGGAGACTACGGACCTAGGAAGCCACACACCGATGGAGAAGGGTCAGCAGGTCCTGTTCTTCTACGAGTCTAATGCTTCAGATCCTGAAGCAGCCTTGGTGTGCTGTGGTACTCCCAAAAGCCGCGGCCCTGGTGGCTTTCACTTCGTGGGCTCACACATGTGGTTGCATGGCACCTTAGCACAAGCCTGCGATCTCAGCAAGGTAGATCAAGAGAGGCAGGAGACATGGCCCAAGGTCATGCCCAAGGCGGAATACAGCTTTATGACACGGAAGGGAACTCCAAAGCCGCAAATGGCCACGCCCTTGTCAGTCCGATGGGTTTGCCCAGCGAAGTCTGCCCCCTGCAAGCTGTCGCTGATGTTTGTGCGATGGGGTGGGGAATATTCCAAATGGATGGATGAACAAGAGGCAAATGATGGGGATTGGGGGAAGTATGGTTCTCCACCCAGCGATGAGTACATGGGCCATGTGGTGAATGAGGGAATCAAGGTGCATCCCGGATTGAGGGATGAGCATGGAATGCCGCTCTTCGAGCTACACCATGTCTTCCTGTCCAACTCCAAGGATGCTTTCCTCATCTCACAGCAGGCACACATCATTCGTGCTGGTTTGAAAGCTCAAAGGCGCGCGGCCTTTTGGATGCTTTGGCCAGCTGAGTGGGAGGACTTTGGGGACCCGGATTACGCTTGCTACATTGAGAGGCATTCCATGTTCGCGGCGATGCGAGCATGTGAGGCCCTGGGCATCCGGAGTCTTTTTCCTCATCCAGCTGATCAGTATGAACTGATTACATCCAAATCCTGGATGGCCACGCTGTCCCTGCATCCAGGTGCATTTTTGCCAGCAGCCACCTTGGTGAGCAAAGGTAGCGTGAAGATGGATGCTGCGGCCGCGGCAGAAAGCGCCTTGCGAACCATGCATCACATCAGGCGCATGAATCCGTATCCAGTAGATCCAGAAGACCCCCCAGCACCTTCAGCCATCAATCAGAATGGCATCCAGAAGGGTGTCGTGAAGCTTGGATGGTCTTGGGAAAACCGTTTTGTGGTCACCTTCAATAGCCCGAGCCATCTTCAGGCACGGCTCAAAGAAATGATGAACCAACCTGGCTGTTTAGCAACCTACTGCATCGTGCAAGAGTGGGTTGATTTTGATTTTGAGATGCGGCTCTATTTCCTGCCACCTCCCGAGTGGCCTGCGAAGCATCCCATCGAGCCAGAGATGATTCAATGCAACGCCTGGGGTAAATCGGATGACACCAAATCCGTGGGTGTTTCCCGCGCGAGTTTCTCCAAGCTCTCAGAGGAAAAGGTCTTGAGCCGATGGGAAGGGGATGTAGCGGCTTGGCAGATGGCAAAGGCAACTCGGGCAGCACAGACCTTTTCGCCACCCCCGGATTATGTAGGATCATTTCTGGCACGCCGTATGCAACAGGTTAGATCTGTTGAGACATGTCGAGACTGTCAGTCCTTCAGGTTTATTTAGCCCTTGACCACTGGAAAGACAAGAACATGAATGCAACGTCTAAGTCTATTCTTTCACAGCTGAGGCCAAGGCCATCGAGATTTCCCAATTCCTTCTCGCCTGGCTCCTCTCGGCCGAACATCAACCCGTGCCCTCCATGCGCTTGGATTTCATGGTGAAGCGGCTCCGGCCTGGCAAGGCCCGAGTGGTCTTCGGAGAATACTGTGAGCAGGGCGCCTGCGTCTTGGGGTGGCAAGGGGGGTCCCCCAACCATTTGGCGTGCCTGCTTGGATGCGGCCCTCCGCGACAAGTGAGAGTGCATGTTTGCTTGGGCGACAGCCGAACAACAGGGGGTCCCCCACCCACTGGCGTTTGGAGGCGCCGGACCAGCAATCGTGCTAAAAAAGCTTCGGCAGTCAGAGTCCAGCATGCAGCCTGAAATTCATAGCTATATATGCTTTTTAGTTTTGAGGACATGTTTCGTGGAGAGCATCGTCACATCGTTGTCACATGAATTGGTGAAGGCATCTTTCAACCCTTCCTTTGTTTTGCCTGCAGGCAAGCCCCCTGGAAACCAGCACGGGCAGCGCCAAAGGCTGTGGGCAGCAAAGTGCAACATGTGTCCAGTTGGAAGGGGGTTGCACGCGTGTCGTTGCTATTGATGTGCAGTATATGTTGCAACATGTGTTTGTTTTTTGTTTTTAATCAGCATGGCCCTGCGCTCCTTGTGGCAGCTTGGCCGTGACCGGATCGCTGGCAGATACGAAGATACAATGGTGGATGGTGAAGATGACGGTGATCACATTAGTATCTCATGACTAGTCTCGTGACTCTTAAGGTTCCATAATAATCTGCTACACCCAGGAGCCCACCTCATGATGCCTCATTGCGTTTTGATCGTTGCATGGTGTTTCCCGCCGCAGGCACCCATCCAGCAGCTGAACACCAGCCGGATGAAGCCGAAGGGACTCGAGCAGCTTAGCGCAGAGAGAGCTTATACCGTACCCCTAAAAAACATGGAAATGGACCATCCCCTGTTTTTAGAGGAACATGTTTTTTTTCCATGTTTTTCCCCTGGTTCACTTGCATGATTGTTGAAGAGGGGGTCAAAATCGACATTGAGGGCGTAAGGATGAACAAGGTGCGTGTCGCGTGCGGAATCTGGACCTCGGATCTTTTTGTCATGTCCTTAATTCTCTTTTTCTATGAGCATGTCTCCTTCGCGGATGATTTTGTGGTCGAGCATAAACGTCCATCCCAGTTGGACATGGTTTGAGGATGTTTTGAGCCACCTAAGATGACAGCCTTGAAGTTTGCCCTTAAGTTGTTTTGCAGACCACACAGCAGAAATCAGAAGAAATGCTCGATCCTTGGCCATTCTTGGTCTGAAATGCAATCTTTTGATTTTTTTAAATAGCAGATCGTTGTATTGAAAGACAATTGACAGTGGCAACCAGTGAGCCAATAGCAAGGTGTCGCTTGTCTCATCGTGCTTGGGATTGAAGCATTGCACACCACCTCTGCAGGAGAATTCAGCGAAGGCTGCAGAGAGTTCGGAGCCGAAGCCAGCCACTGTGGCCCGAGTCCAGTCGGAAATCCGGGAGCCAACAAACTCCTGCGTCATTCACAAGTTGGGATCCTGCCATGTGCTGATTCAAGGTAGTTTCATGTAGTTTCTATAGGTGCACGCTCTTCCATTCTTCATCATATTTGTGGAAACTCTCTTTCCTCGACAGAAACGGCGAGGAGAAACCTGCGGAACGGCGCACGGTCGGTGAGTGCGAAGCGAACGGCGGGTTGGGGCGCTCCAAGGCAGTGGCAGAGGCGTCTTCTTCAGCGTCACCTGGGCGGAAGAAGGTGAAAGGCACCAAGGAGCTGAGAGGGGTGGAGGAATAGGGTAGCCTTTGTGGGTACTCATGGGTCTGCTGACTGATTCCGAGACATTTTCAAGAGATGTTCTACCTTCTTCTGCAAGGTGTGACACGATCTCTGCAGGTGGGGTTATGACATTTACGTCTAGGTTCAAAGATTTCAGGGATCCACCGGATGATCCAAATGAACTAACTACGTGATGATGGGTGGTGCAGAGATCTGTCAATTTTACCGTTCGATGATTGTTTTATGTTGATGAAATGGCACCTTCGCCCATTGTCTCAATCCGCCTGTGCATGGGTTTTGTGCAATCTGTTTTGAGAAGGAGAGTTGAGAGTTGGGGCTTCACTTGCCAAAGCAGGGTGGTTGTGGTCCTGTTCCTTGCGCACGGAGGGGCAAGGATACAATCATTGAAGTGTTGGATGCGGTATGCAAGTCGTACAGCAAGAACGCAGCCAATTTTTACTCTTGAACCTAGAAGACTCTTGCGCAGCCAATTAAATGCGCATCCGCAGCCAATTCTGACTTTGGCAAGATGCGGATGCGCTATTAATCCCAAAGTGTGTAGGCAACCAGAACATCGTTGCCTAGTGTATGAAACTGCCATATGCACTGCTAATGGACCAGTGTAGAGATTCTAGGCAGGCATGGCAGGCAAGCTGCGTTCACGCCTTCAGGAGCTGAAGCCCACCACAAAAACCAAGGATGCAAAGGATGGTAAGGACACGAGCAGGACAGCGAAGGGTGTGAGGATGAGGATTGAGGGTAACAACTTGGCAGAATGAAGGAATTGGAAGAATTTCAGGACTGAAGAATAGTGGTGTGTGTTACTTTGCTTCGGCCCTTTAGGAGTGTGAAAGCAAAAAAAGTAGGTTCTGCAAAGGTGTCTAATTTCATCTAATTTGTTCTTTGTGCTTTCATATTTGGGGGCGACCAAGTCTAAGCAAAGCACGCCCCCAGAAAAACATGTCAAACTTTGTCAGAAAAAAAAGGTAAAGGGAGTGAACACAAAAGGGGTGAGGTTGCAGGCAAGAAAAACCTAGAAACAAAAAAACATATACTAAACAATATTATATAAAAACATACATGAAAAACACAGAACCCCCCTAGCTTGAAAGAGTAAAGAGGGGTTTGCCAGGTATGTGGATGAGCCATTCTATCAGGGTTTCTTCAGGTTTACAGATGTTTTGGAGATTGATCTCGGTCTTGCCCCTTTTTCCACTCGTCAGCACCGAACTCCCGGTCGCAATGCATTTGGAACGTGTAAAACCTCAATGATTCGGCCTGTTCCTTTTGCAGCCTCTACGTCGCGACCCCTTCCGGGATCAGAAGCGGCGCTGGGGAGAGAAGAATGATCCAGAACAGGTGCTTTGAGAGTGGTATGAACATTGGGTTATATACCTCCATCATCCACCGACCAGCCTTCCATGCCTAGCCCATTAGGTTGAGCCCGGGTTTTCTTCGAAATAGACTCCCAGGTGTCCCTAGAAAAGACACTCACCCGCAAACCATTCCGTTTGCTGTGTTGATCCATCTCACCCCAGACCAAACCCTCCAGCTCACCTGAGGAGCTCCCCCAGGGCGCCGCACAGCTCACGCCCCCCTCGCCGGGCCTCCGCGCCCACGAAGCGCACGCCGCGCAGCGCCTCCGAGCCGCCACAGACGGCGTTCTCGGATGGCGCGGCGCGGACGCCGCGTGACCCGGCCAAAGGAGGATGGGGTGGCTTTGTGGCTTTAGGGGTCGACTGGTCCCGTTTGGCAAGTGATGTGGCATGATGTGGCAATTTCATGAGATGTTCAGAAGGTGAAGAATTTGAAGTGTCGCAGAGGCTTGGGGGTGAAGAAAAGGTGAAAGGTCTCACATGATCTCACGATCTGTAGACAGAGGAGATTGAATACCTTTGTCGGGGTGCTTAAGACCGAACTTTTTTTTACGCAAGCTAGCGTCAGCTAGCTGGAGTTACTCTTGCTTTCGCAAGTTTTTTTTGGCCGTGGGATGGAAGGCCTTACCCTGTGAATAATTCATGCGTAGCCTGCCCCCCCGCCGTGGGTTCAACTCCCCCCTGTGACATGTCAATGTCCTCTTTTCACACGTTTGAATCAATCGCATGGTTCAACCCATGCTACTGTAGCTTTCGTCACCAGCCCCCGGCCTCAAGTCTTTTCTTAAGTAAACTGTATTGTTGCAATTGAATTGGTCATGTGCTGTCAATTCCAGACTAATTGCATAGTGCATTCCCACAAGAATAGATGAGAACACCTCAGTTGCCAACTACTCCTTGATGGAGTTGGTTGGGGGGGCGAGCTACAACCACTTGGCTCCTGAGGTCGGGCAGCCCTGTAATGGTACGGCCAGAGCATTCTTGCAAGTGACGGGTAATCGTGCTTAGTGTAGCACAAGCAAAAGTGGGAGCACAGTGGCAGTACTAGCAGCAGTAGTAGTAGCAGCAGTAGGAATAGCAGATAGTAGTAGGAGTAGTGAGGCCCCACACTCCACGACTCAGGCTCACTGGGGGATCCTCGCTTGCCGAAGCTGCTTTTGGACATCGAGTGCCATGACATGAATAAGTGCTGACATCAGAGGCTCAGAGATTGCATGGATGGCTCTCAGGGGCGACCGAAGTGGGAAACCACACCTGGACGCACCAGCCATTTTCCCATGTTCCTAAGAGCATTTCCACCGGTAATTTTCCAGTCAGGAGTCATTTCCGGCGGGTGGAGCGAAAGCTTCCCCTGGATGCCTCTGGCTGGTTGAGGGAAACTGCGCAGCTGGAGCTGTTTCAAGAGGTGGGCTGGGGAGCGGAGCAATGGTAGATACTTGAGGAAGAAAAAGAATGCCTTTTGCATGAGTTCACTCAGGTGTTGGATCATGCTACTAGAGTTATTTGCACGATCTTGCACGCTTGAATTTTGTGTTTGGTAAGCGTGTGTGTTTCTTGCACTTTGTGACACACGTACCGCATCGTACCGCCACAAGCTTTTCAGGGGTGCATGAACCGCAACATACCGCAACTTCCGGATGCCGGCACATCAACACATTTGGACGGGCACGAACACACACACACACCATATATAGTATGTCTCGTGACTTCGCTTTGCCCTTTGCTGTGATCTATACTAGCTAGGGCATTTCCATTCTTAGCTCCTTGAAGTGTTGCCCAACCGCAGGAGCTCCAGTGGATTCTGCAGCAACACCCGGCAGAAGAGGTGTCAGCTCCATGGATTTGGGTTCGGTACATGAATCGAGCATAGTGTAGAGAAGATCGGTATAGGTTATAGGTTTCGTCATGTTTCTGAGGGACCAGTGATTCCACTGAGATTAACCCGGCAACTTGCGGTACATCCCTTTGCGGGCATGTGGTATGCGACATGCGTGTTCCATTCCAAGTCTCAACATATCTAATTATGACAGATGGTGCTGGGTGGGGTGTGCGGGGCATGTATAGTATAGAGTCAAACGGATTGCAGTGGAAACTCACATTCAAGATGCTCACCAACCAATCCCTCACCGACCAACCTGGAACTGGCAAGCTGGCAAGGAAACAGCGACCGACCGACCAACCAACC